ACTCTCTTCCAAGTAAAATCAGGGTTTAAAATTTTGCTTTTATCTTCTAATTGTGACTGTACTAGCAGAAATTAAAAACCTATGAGAAAGAAATGATACTGTAGAATCTCAGTTCAAATAATTATGTCCTTCTAGGTGCTTCTGAATTCACTCCTGGGCATAGTATTACTGAAGACATCTTCTGAGATCTCTTTAAAATAGACCCATCACCTTGATGTTTTGGTTGCTTTTTTGGCTTGATTATAGCTTAAGTTGCTTTGGATAGTCTTATGAATCCTTTGAATTTTCTAGAAAGCAGATACTGCATATTTATGTTGTGACCAGCTTTAGTCTGAAACATTTAAAATATGATGAATGTGTCCTGAGATTTATTGTCAGCAGCTGTAGAGTGGGGGAGCTAGGCCTCAGGAAGAGTAGGTATCTTCATTAAGAGCACACAGCAAGTTGTGGAATTGAGGTTTGAAGAAAATCTCTTGCCAAACCCATCAGTGAAAATCAGTTGCTGAAACATACTCATTTTCAGTGGCAATTGTAAGACTTTCAGCCATCTTTTTTGAATGATTATTTCATAGATCTCCATTATCTGTTTTGGATAAAAGTCTGAGATCAAGTTTAATATTTCAAGGTGTTTTGCATCTAAGTGTGCATTATTTTACCTAATGGACTTTGCAGAATAAATATTTCACTTCTTTACAGCCCACCTGATCTAAGTGGAGCATTTCTTTATGTCACACATTTCTTAATATTTCACACGTTGCAGTGGCAGAACAAGCCTGTTGATGTCAGGAACAAGAGAAGCAGCCCTCCTGCCCCCCAATCCCATTTGTGAGGGATTCATACACAGTCTGGGCATTCTTCCTCTTGCAATGGACGGGCTGGCAAAACAGGCAGTGTTGCAGGGTTCTTGTCTTCCCTGGTCTCTCCTCTCTGGTCCCCTTTCTGGAGGCAGCAGCAGGGCTAGGTTTGAGTTTGAGATTCCTTCAGGACGTACCTGGGAATGTGTCTCCAGGGCTCAGACTTGCTTGTAAGACTTTTTTTTTTTTTTTCTTTTTAATGTAGTTGGGTACAAGATCTCACTATGAAGCTCATAGAGTTATAGTGATCTTCCTCTTTTAATCCTCCCCAGCACTGGGATTACAGGTGTGCACCACCACACCTGGTCTCAGTGGCTGGCTTAGGGTGCTCAGGGGCAGGACAGGTGCAGCATGTGGTGCCAGGGATCGAATCTGAGTCCCTGTGCTTGCCTGTGTAGGCACTTAGGCTTGGGAAATCTTCGATGCCCTCAGAACGAGACCTGGTAAAGGCAGAGGTGGACCTGCACCATGTAGCTTTTTATTAGTTGTTCTTTTATTGGTTCTGTAGCAGTTACTTTTTTAAAAAAGCTATTTTTACATTTCTGGAATTGGGATATGCTTTACATTAGCCACAATAAACAAGTTTCTGGGTTTTTTTTGTTTGTTTTTTAGCTAAGGAGCTGAGTATATAAAATAAGAATCAGTCAATGATGGTCTTCTCCAAAAGTCCAAGAGTTGGTTTGTACTCTTCTTTTAACTATTTTAATCTAGCTTCCCTATCTGGCCAACCATCAATCAGGTCAAAATTCCGAGAGTACTGAGAATTGCGTACTCTGAGCATTTGCTTCCCGCAGGTAACTCTACTATGCTCCTTACTGCTGTCCACCTCAGTTCTCCCCCCACACAGGCAGCTGAGGGTCCCTTGAGATGCTTCCCACAGGGGAGTGGGTCAGGGTACTGGAGTCTCCTAGTGTCTGCCTCTTGCTGTGAGGTAATTGAGACATCTGATGTGTACTTGCTTTAGGAAGAGAAATCTGAACATGCTGGAAAACAAATCATTTTTAAAAATAATAAGTACATCTAAAGTAATGTAACATCTGGTTATAACCAATATAAAACATCACTCATGTTCCTTCCATGTTAGCCTTTTCCACAAAGGACTGAAGACAATGACTCTCAAGAATGAAGTTATGTATACTAGTAATAAGCATTTTTGATTTCTTGGTCAGTGTTTTCATCACTAGGCCTTCATTTGTCTTTTGGAAAGTGCAGATTTCATCAGGTGGGGTTTCTGTTCTCCTGAGCTGGTAAGCTCTGGGTCTGGGCTTGTTCTGCTGCAAGCCCTGAGGTTACAGCTGAGTGCTTGTGCCACCCTCTAGTGGACAGACTGCACATTGCAGTCCCGAGGACTGAATACAGGCTTCTAGATGCACCTTCCAAATTTCTATCTGACTGTGATGAAAAGATTATTCTGTACTGATGTGTGCAGATACCCATATACTAAATGTAAAGTGAATGATAGTGTGTGAGCTAAAGAAGAATCCTTAAAATTATATCAAGAATAAAAAAATAAGTATGGTAGACAAAAGTAATGAGAAATCTAAACTTCAAATATTAAATATAAACTAAGAGTAAATAAAACTCTTTGACATTGGAAAAAGAATGAATAGATCAGTAGAACTAAATAGAATTAAGAAATCAACCAAGAGGGTGTTATTTCAAATCACTTATTTTCAGTGGTGCTCAGAAAACTGGCCACTGAATATATGGTTAAAAACAAAATGAATCCCAGCCTTGTTCTTTTATTCCATATAAATTCTGGATTCATGAAAGGTTAAAATATTAAAAACATGATATGATCAAATTGCTAAGAGAAAATATGGGCCATTTAAAGATAAAGTGGGAAAGACTTGCTACATAAGACAATATACCCAGACGCCTTTTTAAAAAGACATTATATCCTTCTAGAGAGGAAACATTGCAAGTTGAAATAATCATAAAACAATGCTTAAAAGACAAATACACAAGTCAATTTTTACATTAAAATAAATTGTAGTGGTTTCCTACCTAATTACTTAGTAGAAATAATCTGAGGTTGAGATAAAGCAGCTTCCTATGTTACATGTGCCAGTCTTACGTGAATTGTTTTCTTTATGTGAATTGTTTTTGCAGCTTATTTCTCACCCATTGCTTTTAGTGTTGATCCTTTGATGTATATGCAACAAATATTTCTGCCAGTCTATTCTTATGTTGCCTTTAAAAGTATTTCTTTAACTTTTTAGCCATTGTGTGATTTATGTTCATGCAGGCACAGAACTTCACAGTTTTCTTACATCTGTATCTGGGTCGCTCCTCCCCTGGAAAGCATCCCAAGTTCCTTCAGCCTGCAGCTGGGCTCACTGCCTTCCTTGCTCCTTCCTGCTGCTCAGACTGCAGACTTCGTGCAGCAGCGGCTCTCGATGCTGGAGTGCATTTTAACATCTTGAAGAGCAAAGTCTGCCAAGCTTTTCGAAATATTTTAATCTTGTGCATTTTCTACAAGGAATTGTAACTCTTGCCAGGATTATAAGCTTTCCTTATATAGTAAAAAATGAAAATACATGATACTTATTTTCATAAATTTTAGCATCTTCATAACATTTTGTGTTCAAGCATGCATATATCTTTCCATTTATTTAAGTTTTTCCTGTTCTGTAGTAAAGTTTTTATGTTTTTCTCTACCTTTTTACATATTAGTAATAAGACTAAGTTCTTATTATGGCTGATGGATGGTAGAAAAAGCTACAGAAGTAAGCCTTTGATTTTTGCTTTATGTCATACAGAGCAAAGAAAATTCCTGAACAATTGCTTGTTGCCTGAAGTTGTTGAAAGTTTAAGTCTTTCTGGAATAAAATTAAATTGTTTAGCTAAAGTTAAAATGTTTGTCTATATTTCAGTGTAAACTTTTTGTAAATAACATTGACCTTGAAAATTGCATTAAAGATTTGGGTAACAGATGTTACATTATTTGAAGACAAACCAAGGGATAGAAATGACATATATGTTTAAATCACTCTGTGATGCAGCAATTTTATTTGTTTTCAGTACATCTGACTTGGGATTGTATATAAAATTAAATTTTTAAATTGATTTTCCCATCTTACTTTGAATCTGCAGATGACAAGCACCATTAACTTTTTATTAGCACATGTGGTATGGTTGATAATTGTAGCAAAATATAAAATTAGTAGCTTTAAAGTTAATAGTCCCTCTGTTTCTTTTATATATTTATAAATGAATAGAATTTTCTGGAAAATAATAAATTTTATTGAGGTTGTCATCCTTGCCAGCTAAGGATTAATGCCAAGGAGCCAGTTAATAAAATCTCATCAAGGGAAGGGGAAAAGAAGGAAAACATAAGCCTGGTGTTCCATTTCAATAATGGTGGACCTTCTTACTGTGCAGTAACCCTGGCTGCCAGTCGGATTAGGCTGGGCATTGGTTTGGATGTGGAACCCAGTGATCCTGCCATGGCAGGGGCTCATTAACCCTGAATGAGAGGACCACAGTGCCAGCTGCCCCGATACACAGAGCCTGGCTAGAGCTCCCTACAGGGCTGTCCTGGGACACAAGCATGACATCCTCAGGAGAGGTGTGTGTTCCTCCAGGGCTGTGACTCCATTGGTTTGCAGAGGAAAACTGAGGCTTTTTGTCTTCAACAGAGATTTGCTCAAAAGCATGACATCCATGAAAAACAAGCTTGTGCCTATAGAATAAGCAGCCTTAAGCGAACTTTTATTTCTAGCACAAATCAGTCAGTCATGTCAGTCTACCTCTTTTGTTCTTAGCCTCAGATAGATCTGTTTATGTCTCAAATTCAAGTTCAACAGAGAACTTGAGTTTTCATTTTGTTTCTTAGTGCACTGACATGAAAGAACTCGGGCAGGGATGTAGCTCAGTGGCAGAGTGCCTGCCTGGTAAGCGTGACTGAGTTTGATTCCCAGTACAAATAGATTCTTACCTCTGAATCTATTTGTTTTTTGCTAGCTTTTATTATTTCAGTTAGTATTGTCAGATAAAACATTTTGAACAAAAGTTGTTATATAGAGGACAGTACCACATGCTCTTCTTTGTAATTGTTAAAGAAAATTACTTGAAGACTTTTGGAAACTGTTTACAGGTACCAGCAGGGCTTCATAAAATTCACAGAGCTGTTTGGCCTTACAGGACCTGCAGAGGTGGGTGAATGGTGCTAGCGAACACGGCTTTGTCCTGGTGTCCTTTGGAGCCGGGGTCAAGTACCTCTCAGAAGACATTGCTTACAAATTAGCAGGAGCTCTGGGGAGACTGCCTCAAAAAGTGATTTGGAGGTAGGTAAGATAATATGGATTGTCTCTTTGCTATTGACTCTTACTATTGCCCTGCAAGCCCAAGTGGAGCCCAGAGTACTGATTTGCCGGCAAGGCCAGTGGTGACCCAGAGTTTTCATTTTGTTTCTTAGTGCACTGACATGAAAGAACTCAGGCAGGGATGTAGCTCAGTGGCAGAGTGCCTGCCTGGTAAGCGTGACTGAGTTTGATTCCCAGTACAAAAAAACAAAAAAAAAAAAAAACAAAAAAAACAAAAAAACCCCACAAAACTCTCAAATGTGAGTCTTCTGGCTTGTAAAGAAGATGCAATTTGGCACGGTTTATTCTACATTGGATATAGTTTATGTTTACCTTGGAAATCTACTCTCATTTTCTCTTCTATTATTTTGTATAATTTAGTTGTAATTGTATATCTTTCTATATCAGCTTTGGAATAAGGTAGAGAATGATGAATTAATGAATGAGAAAGTAAAATGTTTCATGGATTTTTGGGACATTAACACTGTCCCCTTTCCAAATGGTTTTGATTTGTTTATACAAATGACCAGATCTTTAAAAAATCAGTAAGTTATTAGATTTTACTGGTTAAGACAGATCCCTGGATCTATTTCAGTTTCCTGTGAAGTCCTTGCTAACAAGGTCTGTAAAGTTTAAACCCAAAGCTGAAAAATTGGACCTGAATATTTTATTTAGCATGTATTTATTTGCTAACAGTCATCATTGTTGGACTATCATAGCAAACAGAATAAGTCCCACAAAGTTCTACCACAATTAGAAGAAAGTGTCTCTGGTTTTTCAGTTTTTATTTTCTATTAATACATACTTGTACCACATAGTGATTACATTACTCATGGGAATTAGGTGCATATACATAACACGTGTCATTCTCTTCTGTTCTCTCCCCTCTACATCTCTTGGTTCCTTTTTCTTTTGCAAAAGATCTCCCTTTCTCCTATTACCCATCTTTTATTTTGCTCCTTGCTTACATTTTGGGTTTATCTCTGAAGTATTGTGGACATCCTGAATCAGATAGGTTTTCCCTATATTGACAGCTGTGCAAAGATAGCTGCTTCCTTCTTGCTGAGCTGTGAACGGATTCGTGTTCATGGTGTTCTCCTTCAGATTGAGTTCCACTGAGTCTCCTCTGATAGACTGCCCAGAAAGCATGCTTCCTGCCTAGACAGTTCTGTCTGCTGCTCACACTTGGCCATTCCTTCCCATAGAGGTTGGCTATTTTATAGTTTTATCTTTTGAAGAGCAATGCAGACAGATCTGCTCTAGAGCCCTTGAAGGAAGAGGCCTATACCTTCCTTCTAATGCTTTTCCTTCCCTTAGGCTGTGGGTGTCAAGGCTTCAGGCAAGGGTGGCCCAGTATTGGTTCCCTCAATGCCTCCTTTCTTAGCCTCTGGCTTGGTGGAGAATGGCTGCTAGCAATGATTCACTTGGGTGTTTTTTTCCTCCCATCTCTTTGTGTAAATGAAAAGAAGTTAATAAATCTTTACATAAACAAATGTTTAACCTGTCCTTCAATCAATGAAAGATTTTGGTTGCAAAGAAACTTTGTCACCTTTTTTGTTGATAGTAAACCATGATTTCATTCCTAGTGTCAACAACTGATCATATAACATTTACTTTAAGTCTAAAAAGTTAACCAGAGAGCCCATAACAGGAGTAAGGTTTAATTTCTAAAAGACTCATGATCTGCTGTACATTTTAGGTTTTCTGGAACCAAACCAAAGAATCTAGGAAACAACACGAAATTAATAGAGTGGTTACCACAGAATGACCTACTCGGTAAGTTGTTGACATACAGGTACTAGCTTGCCTGTTAGGATTTACTTGTGTAAATATGATTTTGATACTTGAGAGGTTTGTAAAGTATATGTGTAATATATGATGGAGTTGTTATATATTATGCAATATCTCAACTCTTCTTGTTTGTTTTGAAACAAGGCCTCTCTATGTATTATAGGCTGGTCTTAGCTTACGATGTAGTCCAAAATAGCCTCAAACTCCTGGTGATCCTCCTGCCTCAGCCTCCTGAGTGCTGAAATTATAGACATATGCTACCACACTTTGTTCAGTTCTGAAGTTTTAGGCCAGTGCTTTAAATCTTTATTTATTGGAAAACAATTTATAAAAATGTAGTCACTGAGATTTAAATTTTAGACCAGTTGCAGATTAACTGCCTGGAGGCATACTTAATAAACTATACAAATTAGCAGTAAATAAAGCTATGTCTGATTAGGCAAGGGAGGTAAAAGTAATAAAATTAAAACAATGAAAATGCAGCCATTATAATGAGTTTCATTATAGATGTGTTGGACATCTCAGAAAAATTAGAAATTATTTATATGATACTGAAGGGAGGCAGAAAGCCAGGGATGTAGTTTATTTTTAACTTCAGTTGTATCATCTGTCTGAATTTCCTTCCTAATTTATTATTTTATATTACAGATAATTATAATTGGTGATTGGCCTTATAATTTTAAGTTTTAAATTATAAGCCCCAGTGATTATAAATTATTTTCCAATAAGTAAAGATTTGAAATGTTGGTCAGAAATTTAATAATTAAAGTACTGCATATTTATTGGAATTCTAATCAACTCAAAATTCAACTATTATGTGCATAGTTTTTAAGTATACAAATACTTGAACCTAAGTAATTTAAGTCTGTAGTCATCTGTGATCACCAATGGTAAAAATGTACATTTTTATTCCTTGAATTCTAGGGAAACATAGTACCATATTGTCTTTTAATATATATTGAGAAAATTATTAGTCATTAGTACTGTTAAGTTTGGTCACCTGTTCATTAATAACTAATACTCAATATGATTTTTTTTCATTTAGTTTCCTTCCTTCCTTCCTTCCTTCCTTCCTTCCTTCCTTCCTTCCTTCCTTCCTTCCTTCCTTCTTTCTTTCTTCTTCTTTTGTATTTAGGACAGGGTCTACAGGGTGTACAGGTCTCACTGCATAGACCGGATTCAAGTGATCCTCCTGTTTACAGTCTCCCAAGTGCTGGGATTACAGGCGCGCACCACCACGCCCAGTCTCCTTCACCTATCTCAACGTGCTCTGGGGCCGGGGCCCAGCACAGTAGGGCCCGGTATCGAACTCCCAGCCCTTGCATCTGCCTTAGCAGGCACTTTAATCCACTGAGCTATTTGGCTGGCCCTTATATTACTTTTAAAATCAGCTTTTGAACAAACTTTCTAGAAGCTACAGTTGTCCTCCTAAAAACCAAGTTTAAATTTTGTATTCATAAGCCAATAAGTAATTTTAGATATATAACCCCTTTTGGTCTGGTTAGATACATTCATCTGATTAGAGACATTAGTTTATAAATAATAAAACGGAGGAGAAAGGAGCACAAGGTAATTTTTCTTGACACTTGGATTTTTTTCCTTGAATGCCTTTTTTATTGACTTCATACTCAAGGTATATGAAGTTAGGAAGGAAAATTAGGTCACAGTCAGTCAGTGATCTCACAGCAATGTGACCCTGTGACTTGGAGTATCTCAGTTCCCACGTGTGGTACATGCAGTGGGTGTGGCTACTCAGTGCACCTCAAGTCGTGTCTCCTTTGGGTGCCTATAGTCTCAGCTCTCTTGACTTTTCCAAAGCTGATGTCCCATATCACTTTTGAGGAGAAATGACCTTTGCTGGCCCTCTCATGGACTCTAGTCATGATTAGACAGTTCATCGTGAACTGAAGTTCCAGTGAAGCAAGAACTAAATCTGTATTTCCCTGTCACCTTGCAATATCCCCTTCTTTCCACAGGCCAGCTCTGCTAATTTTTATTTTTCTTGTAACTGCTGGACTTGGTGGTATAATTCCTTAGAAAAATAGTGTGCTACTGCTGCTACAAAAGTCCACTTCTTAAGACTAATCCACTGAGGGCTACTTGAAGCTAAGAGACAGAGACACTGATGACAACCCCAGTAGACTTTGGAACTGAAGCATTCTGGGAGAACCCCTTGGAGATGTGGGTGGCTCACACACATCATTGCGTGTGTGTGTGTGTGTGTGTGTGTGTGTGTGTTTAAAAGACTGACATTTCTATGAGCATAATTCTTTTTTGGCCAGTAACACATTTTCCAAAGTGCAGCATTTATTTTTTTATGCTACTTATGCAAGTGTTTGATCCCTTTTATAAAATATAGGCTGTTTATTGGAGAACAAATTTGGGTTTTGAAATACTTCATTACACTTTTGACAAATTGTTTCTTTTTATTCCTATGGCAATTAGGTGTCCCTCTATATCCCATTTTTTAATGGTGAATTCTTAGCAGTACCATCTCTACTTATTAGTATACCTAAAACATCAAATTGAACCCTAAAATTGTGAAACATGGATGCTGATAGAATAGCTTAAGTGGTGAATACTGCAGTTTTGTTCTTTTGGATAGGCACTAAACTCTCATTTCTCAAATTAGCCTTACATTTTACCTAATTATTTTACAAAGTGAATTTGACTTTAATATAGATAAGTAGCTATACAGTGTATAGATCTGTTTTTAGTAAAATCTGATTGCACCTTGGTGTTGTTATTGCTTACTTTCATTGACTTCTTATTCTTATTTACCATTTAAATTTGTGTTGACATTGTGTTTTCATGTTTAATGCTTTACATTTCAGTTAAGTGAAATGGTTTTTGGTATATATAATAGCGAATTTTGGATTTGAAAAGCATTTTAATTGGTATAAAGTAGAAATCAATGAAATTGTGCCTTAAAAAATCCTGTGTCTGACATGTGTTTACTATTGGGCTATCTTATTTTCTTTCCTATCATTCTTTAGGGCACTCAAACATTAAAGCCTTTCTAAGCCATGGAGGTCTGAATAGTATTTTTGAAACTATGTATCACGGTGTTCCTGTAGTGGGAATTCCACTCTTTGGAGACCATTATGATACCATGACCCGTGTACAGGCTAAAGGCATGGGGATATTGCTCGAATGGAAGACAGTTACTGAAGGGGAGTTATATGAAGCTCTGGTGAAAGTTATCAATGATCCCAGGTAAGGTTTCAATTAGTATTAAAGCAGATGATGTTATACATATTACACTCATTATATTGTTAGTTATTGTCAGTTGATTAATAAACCTTTAGATTTCTCTGATAATGCCTTTTGCATGTTTCTAATAACTTGGAAAATAATGATATCAATACTTGGGCAGCTGCATTGTGTCCTTGCATAATCATGGTATCAGGATTTGCCAAACTGAAGAAGAAGCTGCAAGGGGAACAATCACTGTATCAAATATTGGGTCTTTTATTTCATCTTAAGAGTTGTCATAGCAGTCTATTATAGCTTTTGCTGTCCACATTATGGAAATCAGCACGTGAGGCTCAGATTTGTTCATTGGCCCACTGTTGCACAGTGTTAGTATAGTAGTGTAGAGCCAGGCTTGCACCTCTCTAGCCAGAGTTCTTGGCTCTGCACAGTAAGGCTGTGCTGCTGGCTTTCCCAGCTGTGGCTGCTGCTGAAGTGTGAAGATTTATTTCCTGCCAAATCTGGATCTTGATTTCATTTTGTTTTTTACATTCTTGGTGGGTCCTGTACTAATCCACTTCACAATTGAGTCTTGGAGGGCATAGAGTTGGCCTGTAAAGTACATTTTAGGACATGCTGTTTAATTTGTCATGTATTTCAGGTGACAGTAAAGATACAAGGAGTGTGGCATTTTCTGTTTATATCCAGGGGACATAGCTTAACCCTGGTTGATAAATACTGTCATTCTCTGAGGAGCACCAACATTAAAAATTACTTCACATGACATGCTGTATCTTGCAGATGAAGTTCTGCATCCAGCTGTGGTTCTTCCAGCTGCCTTTACATGAGCTCAGAGGTTGCCTTCATGCCCTCAGTCCTTAAGGACCCCAGGGTCTTGCTGACACCTCTGAGACTTGGAGCAAGCTGTCCCATGACCCAGGGTGCTCGAGTATATTCTGGTCCTGTGACCTGTCTCTTTTAAAGTCTAATGCCTTTGTAAATATGTCATCATTAATTTTTTTAAATATATGTTTATAAAATACAGTACTAGAATTTTTTGGTGAGAAATTTACTGGCACAGGGTCAGTTTTACAGCAAAGCAAAATGCTGAGTAATACAGGAGGTTATTCCAGCTGTTGTTTTGTTTGCAGGGCTGGGCGTCAAGCTGGGGGCCTTCAGGCAAGTGGTCTGTTTTGTGGGCCTCCAGCTCCACCTTGCAGCGAGCTGGGCTGAATCACAGAAGTCACTGGCTACAATCTTAGGTCTTGATGCAGTTCAATGCCAGCTAAAAATCTTGAAGTTTACATAAATGCTTGAATTCAGAATGTTTTACTTTCTGTAGTGGATAAATGTATATTATATCAGAGGTGTGTATTATTAGATAAATAATGAGTTTACTGTATGTAAATCTTGAAAATTTAACTTTTTAGCCAAAGGGTCTTTGAATATTCAGGGTAATGTGAAAATGACAGTGATCTGTATATAAACTTCTATAAACTAATAGCACTTAACTTTCTTTGTTTCCAAATACATGACAGTGTCCCACATTTAATATGCAATGATTATTAAAAAAGCTAATTTACATCACTAATATGTTATCCAAGGTACTCCAATTTAAACCAGGCAACCAGTATTTCTAAAGAAGTATTTATTTTTTAACTCATAAATGATACTATTACAGATCTTGCCTTTTTATTCCTTTGTGGTTATTTTGGAGAAGTCCATTGCTTCTTTTTGGTGAGGGTTCCTTTTGGAGATCTTTTTGTTTTAATGTAAGTTATAAAGGAAAATGAGTTGAGATCATTGACAGCACATATCTAACTCATGATCAGCTTTTAATTGAAGACATACTTTTATAAAATGTAATGGGTATAACTACACCTTACAAGGCAATTCTTTATTAAAAACACCTTATCTGAGGGTTCTTTGGGGTAGTTTAAGGGTGGCTTGAATGACCATGTAAATCACACTGTTTTTTACTTTTACAGTCTTTATATGCTTAACTGAAAGGAATTTTGAATTGTAAGCAGGCCATTGCAAGAATAGTGACACTTGATATTAAATGGAATGTACCTTCCCTTCAAATATCTAAGTATGGAGTTCTTAATATCCCTTTCCCTTTAGTCCATTGACCCCTGGACAGAAGAGTTGTACAAAATCGGATTGCTTAGTAAGCATCTGTGGGGAGGTGTTTTTTATGCTTGTGTATGTTCACTTGCATACATGCTGTGTGGGACTTGATAGTAGTGCTTTTCAACTCCTTTTTATCTATTAATATAATGTCCTTACATCATGATTCAATGATGATTTAAGCTAAAGACGTAATTACTTCAAAAAGTGATGGAATAAAATTTTGTATTTTTTTTCTCTATTCTCTTTTAGAATCTAATAAACATACTCCCTTTCCTGGTTGAGATTTGTGGATTTTACACACACACACACACACACACACACACACACACACTTTTTTTTTTTTTCAGTGCTGCGAAAGGAACCCAAGATCTTTGCACTGAGTTGCATCCCATCCGCTTTTTATTTTATTGAACCACACTCTTGCTAAATTACCAGGACTGGGCTCCAACTTGCAGTCTTCCTGCCTCAGCCTCCCAGAGTACTGGGTTTGGGGCATGTGCAGCATGCCTGGCTCGTTGACTGATATTTAAAGGCATATGAAGAGAAAGGCATCATGGGATGTAGGGTAGAAGAAGCAGAGAACTTGAGAGTCAGAGAACATTGCATCTGAGTTTCAAATTTATGGGCATGTTCTGATTACTTAGTTTCTCTGGTTTTCCTTTTCCATACCAGTTTAACATGGGTTTCATTGGGTTAGCATAAGATATGGTGTTTAAAGCACTTAGTGCCTGGAATGTGCTAGGTGCTTGATAAAGGATAGCTGTTGTAATAT